CACATATTACACAGCCTGCTGCTCATAACTGCTTAAGAGTGCACTGGCCACGAGCGATGACATCGTGGAGGCTATTGTCGGACCCACAGACACATTTCACGTGGAAAGTTAACATGCACATTATAATCAGCCCAGAAGTTTCGTCTCAATTGAACGTGTTTCTACTTTCACAAGCAAATGACTTGTTGCCCTTATGAATATGATAACTTTCCGGCATCAATTCTAGTAGGGTAAAACGTAATTACGCTTTCGAAACGGTCTGTTTTGCCCTGCCATCATTAGCTGAAGCTGTGTGTGGACAAGTCGCGGCTGCAGAGTGTGAGCTGCTCCGTCTCACGCAGCCACAGAGGGAGTTCCACAACAACGCTTAGCTGCCCGCCGGTGCGCCTGCCTATAAATCGGCCTAATTTGCAGCACAATCGGCCGATGCCGATTAATTAAAAAAATGCCAAAATCGGCCGATCAATCGGTCGACCTCTAAATCATATTCAGTCTAAAACAATGCTGTTTTATGCAAATCCAAAGAACCAAAGAAGTGAAAGATGCATGAAAAGAAATATCAAGGACTTTCTGGGCCAGACCTTTTCATCAGACACTACACACACCCTGGTGAACAAGCACTCGCACCAGCCAGCACAAGGGAAGCTGATGAGTCATAGCCCACCTCTGAACACCAGCCTTTGCACAAACCCCAATGTAATGCTATTTGTTATTTACAAGAAACTTTAAAATACTGTTACATAGCCAAGTGAGCATAATTATTAAGGATGATTTCTCATTTTTCCTAATGAAATATTCAGTACATTGCCTAGTGCACAGGACATAAAGAAAAACTGAAAAAGATCTAAGAAATTAAGACTCATATAAGACTTTAAATCAGTCTTTAGTCTCTTTATAAAGTATTTCTCTGTGTCTTGAATAGCCCAAAATGTTCACTTTATCTTAGTTACAAAATACAAATTTCTCATTTTTCAGGGGCAAGAAGTTCACCAAATTGTGAAAACACTATTAATGTGTAAAGAGGTGTGAAGTGAGCAGGGCATGTGGTGCATCATAGAATCTAAATTTAAGACTCTTTTAATGAACCTGATGATTATCTTATGGAACGATGCCTCAAATCTACTGATACGAAACAGATCTCAATCATGATGTCTCTCTGTCTTCCTGTTCAACCTCTGAAGCACTCTTTGACTACTGGGCAGAGTTTAAAAGGTTAACGCACCTCTGAGAGCTATGTAGCGAATCAGCTCATGGGGAAATATGAATAATTAATCATAACTAGTATGAGCAAGAGAATGTTGTGCTAGAAGTATAGACAAATTAGCCCTTTGATGCATGACATCCTCTAAAGCAGTCAGTCTTTAACCAATCATGGTGCTGCATTCAAACCATCATGAGTGATGAAGTTTATCCATAATTTTAGGATTTTTCTCTATATCACTGTCACTGCATATCATTATACGCCAACATGAAATCAAAATAGTTGTTTTATTGAAGTGATGACGAGTCTGATGGAAAATACCTCAAAAAAGACTAATCTGATCATATAATATAATATAATATAATATAATATACTTAAAATATGCATTACATTTATCAAAAAAGACAGTAAAGACATTTATAACATCTTTAAAGTCCGCGTGAACCGGAAGTTGCTGCCGACTTTATTTCAGTGTAGTGACGTATTTCTTTTGTCTCGTCTCTCCGGCCGGGACACACCATCACAGTATGGTAAGGGACGTAACATTTCCGTCACACGCTTGAGATATTCAGCCAATCACAACGCACTGGATAGCTGGCCAATCAGAGCACACCTCGCTTTTCAGACCGATGAGCTTTGTAAAAATCGGCACGTTTCAGAAAGGCGGGGCATAGTGGAGCAACAATAATGTACAGTATGTGGAAAATAATGTGGTTTTTTTAACCTTAAACCACATAAACACATTTCATTACACCAAATACACAAAATAATGTTCTTTTTAGCAACATCATATGACCCCTTTAAACAACTGTTTGCAACATTTATAATAATATGAAATGTTTCTTAAGCTGCAAATTAGCATATTTGAATGATTTCTGAAGGATCAAGTGACACTGAAAACTAATGACTCCTGAAAATTCAGCTTTAAAATTACAGGAATAAATTACATTTTAAAATATATTAACATAGACAACAGCTATTTTTAATTATAATAATATTTTACAATATTTGTTTTTGCTATATTTTTGATCAAATAAATTTGGCCGGGGTGAGCCTATAGGAGATTTCAAAAACCATGTGAAAAAAAAAAAAACTAAAACATTTGAACAGTATATATACACATATTAGTAAAAATATTGGTAACAAATTTCCCCCTCGGAATTGATGCATCAGAGGGTTAAATTTGATATTTCCATGAAGGTTGGGAGTAGGATGCTGATGCAATGACAGATATTCTTATGAAGAAGGAAAGTGCTAAAACAGCACCATGACAAACTGAAGTGTTAACAGGCATCTGTGAGCGGTGTGAACTTCCTCGTTGTTAAATCGTGATGCAGCAATCTTCTCCAGGCGTGCATTACTGGCCACATATCGTTCAGACATTTAATTAATAAACGTTGAGCTCGAGAAGAGAATGATGCATCACCCACAGCATCTACCACCGGCACTGGTCGATGAGTAACAGAAAGCACCAAAGCACACCAGACTCACTCGATTACTCTGTCTCTCTACTCCTGTCTCAATCTCACTCTCTCTTACATCTCACATATCTTTCTTAGCTCCATCGGTCTTCCCTGTGCTCCTGTAATACTGACATTTTAATGCAAAAGTCATTCTTTTAATGCATTATTTTTAAGATAAATGTCAAAGTGCCACTTAAAGCAGCTCTTTTTTCTATATAACTGTTGAGCATCTGGATTAATCTAGAAATGTATTTCCTCTGTATTTAAAGGCCTAAAAATACCTGCACTTAACAGAGAAGAGTCTTTTGTAAAATTGTGCTGCTCCCACACTGTCAGAGTGGAATGGAAGTACCTGCAGATGTCATGTTACATCTGATTTTTTCATCACTAAAAAGAGAACAGGTTAACATGACTCTTGGCCTCATTGATTGGTAGCGCAGCCATGATGAAATAGTGGTCCCTACAGAATAAACCAATGAAGCTAAAGGTGACACTGCGGGGGATTCAAAGAAGTTATCTTTATCGCAATAGATTTTACGTTCAGATTGAAAAAGATCAACTGGTATTTGTTCTTATTCTTTCCCAAGACAGAACAGGATTGCTTGGTCATTGTGAATTTCCACGCCATTTATACATTGAACCTCACGTTCAAAGCAAAGCGCTCCTGGTGACTAAAGGTAAATCCCATTAAAGCATGTGATGACCATATTTCACAATAAATTCTGAATATATACACAGTTTTAGGACTATTAGAATGATTATTTACTTTATTTTAATGGCAGTTAAGCACATCATTTGACAAAAAACACATTGCAACACATTTGGACATTTCACTTTGTCATTGTCATGATATATAGACAATTACAAAGTGAAATGTTCAAATGTGTTGCAATAATTTCATTGTGTATGTATGTATATATTATATAGTGTATTTATGTGTGTGTGTGTGTGTGTGTGTGTGTATTCTTATTATATATTCTTATATGTAAATATATACATACATACACACATACTGTGTATAATTAAAATTAAAATTCAGAGAGATTAATTTTTGTAAATTTTTTACAGTATATAACTGTATATGATATAAAATCATCTCTCTCTCTCTAGACATATAAGACACAGTAATAATAAAGTAATTATTAATAATTTGTTACATTGACAATTAAGCACATTTCACCCAAAATTCTCATTAAATGTAACACATTAGGACTTTTTTTTATTCCTTTTTTCTCAATGGTGATTTTCATTGTGATATTACAGTAAAACATAAATAGATTCTAAAACATTCAATTATAAAATAAAATAATACATAGATCAATATATTAAATAACATATTAAAAGTTCAGCATGATTGAAGCAACACTACAATTACTGCCATGATGCATACAGCACATAGTAACAAAATAATATATAATTAATTATTTTTCACATCACAGTACTGAGAACTGAGAGCAAAAATGTGCTTAACTGTTATAAAAATACACAAAATGGGGGGAAAAAATAGGAATTCTAAAACTGGGATTATTTTTCTATCTCTTCCTGGTTTCTTATTATAGCACAGTCTTGTATTTCTTTCCTCTGAATTTGGGGTGTAATATGACCCGGACATTCTTGACAGTTGTTTGATGAGATTCGCCCCTTCTATAATGACAATGAACACAAACCATACATTTCAGACCACACCAAATACTCCAATGAGATGTGCTTTTTGTCCACCATCAAGAAAAGCTGCCTTCTAGAAACATCACTACATCAGTTTCTTCAGGAGACACCATTGACCCGCTCTGTTGAATAGGCAGGAGCAGTGAATGCGCAGTCTCAGTGCGGAACGAAGGTATCAGACACACCACCAGCCAATGTTGCCAAAGCAGCAAAAAATGCATCTCATTTCATCAGGTCCTCAATAGCAAACTGTATTAAATGATCACTGAGATGCACTCGGAAGGATGTGCACACGAGACAAAAGACAACGAGGATCCTCCCTCAGTGAAAATGAGGATTTAAATCTTTTTGTCTGTTCGTTTTGAACGGTAGCATAAGCCACAGTTGGCACATAATCTTTAGACTGCCTGCTATGCTGTTTTCTGTTATATCTACCATAACACAGATCCATAGGGAAATATTACTATGGTAGCCAGATGCATTTCATCGGGATACAGACAGAGCATCAAATGCGGCGTAATTTGATTGATCTCAATCGTGCAGCGCACAACACTGAAATTAAAGTGGAGGCTATTAATGCAGATTATGGAGCCACTTTCACCTCCATCGCGCGTGGAAATGAAAAGCGCGAATTCTAATGACATCTCCAGACAATAAATGCATCATCTTACCTGTGCTGTGCGAGAGATCAATGCCAGACTCGCTGAGGATGTTCGGGTCACTTTGAGATCTGCCTCTGTGCAGAAGACATTTGTATATTCCATCCGACGAAGCCATGAGGAATCTTTAATACATTAGCTCATCCATGAACATGATTCCTGCCCGAGTCCCATCGGATTGCTTCGGCTGTGGGGATGAAGAGGACAACTCCCATGATTCCACACTCAGTCACGGCGTCATCTAACTACGCCTTTGTTTCTTTGTTTGTTTTGAATACGCGCCCTCTAGTGGCAAAAAATTACATATTGTGCCTTTAAGTCTCTTGTTTTTGAAGCGCGTGATTTCCTGCCTTCAAAAAGTACTATGGATTGAGAAAATATTCGAGTGAGTTCTGTGCCATAGTGACTTCATTCATGTATGCTTTTGACAGACCTAGTGGTGTTTCGCTCGGAACGAATCAGTGTTTTTTAAATGGAATGAATCTTTTAAGTGAACGAATCATGACTGATATTTTCGCTCGCTTAAGTCACTTACTTGAGAAAATAGGTTTCGAGTGAATCCTGTGCCATTTTATGTTTCGAATCTCAATGAGATTCGGATCAGATTTGGTTGGTCCCAGATAGCACACATATGTCTGCAAAAGGTCTGTTAAAGATCGCTTCATCTGGAAAGCATCTGCTGTGTACAAACATCTGATAGACATCTTTAAGATGTCCGTTTTACATACATTCTAAATCATAAACATCTTAAAGACATCTTCTAAACGTCTATTTGACATCTGATAGGAAATGTCCTATAGACATATTGCAGATGAGCAAACACTAAAAAATACCCAGCAGGCACCGGACGTCAATATAATGTCAATTTGACGTTGGATCCCAATGTCAGACAGATGTTGCATTTTGGTTGAGAATGAAAATCGGGTTGACGTCAGTATTTGACGTCAATTTGACGCTGACTTAATGTTGGTTTTGGTTACACAACCTAAAAACAACAAAATGTCAACGTCAGCTGACGCCGGTATTGGACATCAAATTAACATTGACATTAGACGTTGAATTGACATTGAATTTTGGTCACCCGACGTCGCAACCGAAATTTAGCCAAATATCAAGGTCTTATGACATTGTGTGCCTGCTGGGTAGGTCTTACAGATGTAAATGCAGACGTCAAGTCAAGTCACCTTTATTTGTATAGTGCGCAGTGCGCGCTTTATACAATACTGATTGTGTCAAAGCAGCTTTACAGTGTCAAACAGGAAAATAGTTTGTCAATAATGCAAGAAGACAATAACAAAGAGTAATTTTTTCAGCTAAAGTCAGTTCATTGATGATTCAGGGATGTCATCATCCAGTTCAGCTCTCTTCCAATAGTGTCTGTGCAGTCAGTCAAGCGTCCCCAACTAAGCAAGCCAAAGGCGAGACGAAACCAGCATGGCGTGGTTTCATTCCAGGCTGCAACACAGGTCAGATTGTGCAGATGTCTCCGTGATGTACATGTGCTATCAGGAGTGAAGGTACCGCGTGTTTGCTCATCTGCAATACATCTATAGGACGTTTCCGGTCAGATGTCAAATAGACGTTTATAAGATGTCAATGATTTAGAATGCATGTAAAACTGACATCTTAAAGACGTCTATCAGATGGATGCTAGCGAATGACGTTTTAAACTGCCTTCATAAATGAATTCATTCTTTTTTTTTCCTTCTTTTTTTTTTTACAGACCTTGTGGCGGTGTTTCGTTCGGAACGAATCGGTGTTTTTGAGCGGAATGGTGAACGAATATTTTCGCTAGCTTAAAGGGTTAGTTCACCCAAAAATGAAAATTAGTCCATAAATTACTCACCCTCAAGTCATCCTAGGTGTATATGACTTTCTTCTTTCAGAGAATCCAGTCGGAGTTATATTAAAAATTCTTTGATCTTTCAAGCTGTTTAATGCCACTCAGCGGGTGTTGCATGCATCAAGTGCATACGTGTGCTATCTGGATATTGATTGAATTTGGACATCTTATTCATGAACAAACTGAATGAACTTAGAAATTGGTTCGTTTAAGGGAAAGAGTGCAGAAGAATTCTAATTAAATGACTGATGACCATACATAATAAATGAAAAGAACTGATTTTTAACTGTGTTTTTAAACCGGTGAAGTGAATGATTCAAGAGACTCACTCACAACAAGACACTCACTTGCCACAAGCCAATGGTGTAAAGACCCGTTCACACCAGGAACGATATTTCTAAAAGAAAGAAAGAAAGAACATTAACTTTTAGCGCCCAAACCAACGCAACAACAATGTTGTTATAACAAGAGCCCTGCTGCAGTTTTGTTGTCTGCCGCATTCAATGCTCGAACTCTTTGAATTCGGGTGGATTTTGATCGGCTGTCAGTGTTTTTATTGTTTATCAGCTGGGAAAAAATCTGAAATCAATATTAAAACTTATAGTTGTAGTTATTATAGTTATAGTCATCGTACTTTGTATGAACAAGCCTTCCCAGTGGGCACCTTGATGTCAATTTGACGTCAAAAATTAGTCAAGATTTGATCAAGATGCTGTAAAGCATCATTTGAAGTTCAGCTTTATTGCCAATCTTCTTCTGGTGGTTAATTGGGTAAAAATAGGAGGTTATCCTGCACTGAAATTGGTTTAATATTTATGTAGGCCAATATGTTTGACGTTCAATATACGTCAAATCAACATCAAGTTTTAAACGTCCAATTGATGTCATATTGACGTCACATTGACATCAATGATTAGTATGTTTAATCAGGATGTATGCAAAGTTATGGTGTAATATGAATTTGTAGTTAGCTTGATTAAAGGGGTCATATGATGCTGCTAAAAAGAACATTATTTTGTGTATTTGGTGTAATGAAATGTGTTTATGCGGTTTAAAGTTCAAAAAACACATTATTTTCCACATACTGTACATTATTGTTTCTCCTCTATGCCCCGCCTTTTTGAAACGCTTCGATTTTTACAAAGCTCATCGGTCTAAAAAGCGAGGTGTGCTCTGATTGGCCAGATCTACAGTGTGTTGTGATTGGCCGAATACCTCAAGCGTGAGATGGAAATGTTACGCCCCT